AGAGTGAGATAAATTGAGAAATAACGACACAGAGAATGAGGGAGAGATTGAGCGAGGGAGAGAGTGAGAAATTGGTCAGTTCTGCTGCTCTCCGTTAAGAGTTTTTGGATGGAGCATTAATATTAATGCATATGTACAATTGGATAAATATTGGAAGATGCTTTGAAGTCATTGGCAATGATATATTTCAGAGACAGAGAAGTAATAGAGGGAAAGAATAAGAAATAGACAGGATACCGATTCGGAACAGAGCGGTGCACCGCGAGAGAGGGATAGTGAGAGAGGAAGATTTAACAACATTTTGAAAAATTACACAAATTTCGCGCTAATCAATAATGACACGGAAACAATGTGCTAAATTTCATTTCTACTTAACCTCCACTATAACTTAATGCAAACCAGCTTAACCTCTATACTACAGTATAAAAGGGCTTAATAAAATTCTTCTTCTATATGAATAATTAAAAATTAGTGCAAAAGTCCAGTGCTATTTTATGTGCCTACCTGCCGTGAACGCTTAACACGACAGTGTTCTCAACTCACGTATCAACATAATGCATCTATAAACGACCCAATACGCATATTCACACGATATCCATTGTATTAATATGTTTGGTAATAACTTCCTCATCGGTTGAAAGCAGAGTTTATCTAACATTTCTGCTATTCTTTGGGTGTCAGCACACGGTTGAAGTATGCACTCCGTATAGAATAAAAGTAAATACAATCACTCTACCCATATATATTTAGATTTCCATTACAATTACCATGACACTTCGCTTAAGGAGCGAAGGTCAGAACAGCGGAAACTGTGGACCTTAAACTTCGAGATACTAGATTTACACTAACTATCAGTGATTTACACTTAATACAGTTTTGGTAAGGTGCACTAAATCGTACGGAATGTCTAACCTGAAATTGTCAAACATGGGCCAATGTAGCCTGATACATATACTTGACTACTTAATTCAAACTCACACATTTGCTCAGACCTATTTGCACAGATCATCACAACTTAATTACATGCGGTATATTAGTATAACATGCAATCAAGTGTTGACTTACTCAAAAGCTATAGTTGACGCTACATCCAGTCATATCGAAAATTCAAAATGCATTTTCTTCAGTTATGTTAGTTGAATAAAATTAAATTTCAAAAGAAAAAAAAAACAGATTACAGTTCAATTCGGGCATTTTGCATCGGGCTGTGATGTAATAGAAGAATTCATCAAGATTTAAAATCTAATCAATGCTAGGATCGGCAAAAAATGAAATGCTAAGAAGTAAAGTTCCAGTTTTGAATTTCATTTTGAGTTTAAATTGTTTTGTTTAAATTTTTTGTCGTTAGAATAATAATATAAACAATTAATTCAATTGAATTTAAAATAAATCGAATTTATGACATATAACCAAGCTTAACAACAAAAATAATAATCCCGTGCCTTTTCATATTACCATCACCTATCCACGTCTTAAACCTTGTATGCGTGTTTGAAATTTCTTTCATGTTATCTGTTTAATAGATCTTTATGGGCTATAACAATAACAATAACAACAACATAAATAACAACAACATAAATAACAACACATAAAAAACACATTTCGACACGCAAAAAATATGAATCACACTACTAATAAATTGAATTTATGTTAATTAGGAAGTAAGCCCCTTCAATATACTGACGCACGCAGTCAATTTTTTAAATTTTATTAAAAATTAACTGCAGTTGCTAAGCGTAATTTAAGATTAAACAGTTGGTTTCGATGAATTAAAGCCTTCTGTTATGGAACAATTATAAATAAAAATAATTACACATCTATTTTTATAAGCTGAGCTTTTATAAGTGCTTTAATTGTCTCCAGTTGCAGCTTCAAGAAGTTTTGTTACATATTTCTATATAAATAAATGTATAATTTAATAACTTTTAAAAATAATCTATGCCGTCTGTTTGTATTGAATGAATCAGTATAAAGACATTGTTTTATTAACAAAACAAAATGAAACCACTTGAAATGATCTGAGAAATATATATATATAACAACTGTTTTGTGTTAATATCGATTTGATATGATATATGGCTTGGGTTATCAATTCTAAGGAAAAGTTTATCTTTACCATATTTATATTACTTAAAAAATATAAACTGTGTTTAGTAAAAGATAGTATTATATATGTATTTATAGATAGCTACTTTACACCATCTAAATGCTTCATTGCCAACAGCAGTGCCAGGTTTATATATATATTATAAAATATATAAAACAGTCTGTTATCATTTTAAAAACAGAACAATGATTCAGTAAACTAATACTTAGAAAATGAATTCATGTTAATTTAGATTTGATAAACCTAAGTTGACTTAGATCTGAGAATTAAGATCAACTATTACGGTTTTTCAAGAAATAACTTGCACATCAAACAGAAATTCTCAAAAATACTTTTAAAAAAGTTATAGTATTGAAGAATATTTCTAAATTCAATTGTATTCTTAAACTCTTCGTACTATCAAAAGCTTGTATATAAACTCTAGTGCAAATTTCTAATTACCTGGATTGACAAAAGTGTTTTTTCTATTATATTTTATATATTTAACAAGATTAACTACTCGGAGCCATTATTTTTTTCTGATCAACTGCGATTTATCGCTATCAACTAAGACTGAAATCCTCTCATATTTCTACTTTCAGGGTTCTTAAATGCGTGAGCTCTCAATATATTATATTATTTACCTGAACTATCAGATGTGTCATAACAATAATCTCAGATGTGTTATAACAATGACCTCAATCCTCAGATGTGTCTCAACTCTTAGATGTATTATAACAATGACTTCAACTCTCAAACCTCTTATAAAAATTCTCTCAGACGTTTCATAACACTGATCTCAAACTCAGACCTATTATAACAATAACCTTAAGACCTTAACTCTCAAACCTGTTATAACGATGACCTTAGCTCTCAGACCTGTTATAAAAATACTTCTACTAACTAACAGAACTGTTACAATAATGATCTTAACTCTCAAATGCGTTATAACAAAACTTTAACTCAGATGTGTTGTAACGATAATTTCAACTCTTTGGTACCATGAAAAGATCACATCACGGGTGGTTCGTCCGCCCGATTTCGGTGACATTAGCTTGATTTTTCTTCCTTATAAATTGTGAAACTCAATTATGTCACTTTATTGTCGACTCTGAACATGAGTCCATAAAAATAGATCTAATAAAAAATGACTAAATTAATTTGAAATTAATTTTGACTTAGGTGTACACATTTTTGAACGAAAATAAATAAAACTAAAACTTGATTTGATTCTTGTACGAAGTTTATGGTAAAAATATATACTCTACTTATAAGATATTTCCGAATCCAACTAGATTTGTTAAAAATCAGCTATAAAATCTAATTGCACTAAAGTTGTGGAAATTACTTGAAAACATTTATTATATATGTATGTATATATTATATAGTATATATTATATATAGTATATATTATATATAGTATATATTATATATGTATAAATTTACTACAAAAAATATGGATGGATATAGTGAAAATTCTTCCAACGAACGCCTGTGTTGAATAGACGTCTCTCCTGGGTAGAAAGCCCTTCTTCTAACGGACACCTGTATTGAAAAGATGCCTCTCTTGGGTATACATTAGCAATTTTTCTAAAATTATACATTTTTTAGCGTTATTTAGGCAACTTAATCCCCTTTGGAAGTAAACCCCCCAAAGTAAATGAACAAAACTTGGCTAAAGGTAGTTTTAAATGTAATGACCAAAATATACCAAACACTAATTCAATTATCCTGTTAAAATATGCAATAAATATACATAGATATCCATGACGAAAAAAATAAAAAGTTTGGAACTATGTCTACATTACAGGAACTTCGGTATGGAATTACAAATTAATGACAATACTCACTCCCCCAAAGTACATATACTCTAGCCAATAGGTAATGGTAATGTCATATCTGCAATCTCAGTGCCACTGTTAGATTATAAAAATAGCAATGCTTAAGGTAAACTATCGGAACTCCCTCCAACGTTCTTCCAATTTGTAACTCGCTAAGCACATTTTACAAACAATTCCCCTTAATACTTAAATACTTAAGACCATGAAGCAGTAAAACCCCAAGATGGCTTATTTATTCACCATGTGCATTAGCCTATGCGATTATCTGGCCATACACTTAACAGTTACACTTGGAGTTATGTGTGCGGTACGCTGATACGAAGCCACCTGCCCAACCGCAACCATTTAACGTTCCGCTGTATGCGGTGCGGCGCGGCGCAGCGGTGGTGCTGTGCTACTCTGTTGCGGTCAGCAATGCAAAAGTAAATAAGCAAATAGTTTACCTGGTAAGCACTGGTATTATAATGTTAATAATGGCTTCGCCGTTCGGGTGTGAATTACTCCTGCGCTCTATGTACACGTTTAACAATAAATTAACATTTTTTGGCCACTAACATGGGAAAAACACAGCAAAACACAGCAAAAATAATAAGCACCACAACTAGAAAATAACAACGCCAGCACGCAAAGGAATGTCTTGCTACCGCTGCCCTTGCACTAAATAATTAAATTGACTTAAGTGTATAAAATGAATTGGTAACACTTGGAAGCATGGAAGCACAGTGGAGCCTGAAGAGCCAGAGGAGCCACCAAAAGTACAGCACCCAAACATTGGTCGGGCCCAGTTTCCGCCGAAAAACTTTTGACCGAAAACAAAATGCATAAAACACCAACACGGAAAAACAAAACCGAAAAGCGCAAATACGGAATGTATTGCAATTTTCCCAACAGAAATCGTACCCAAACAAAATAGTTAAACAGTTTTTCACATTCTTGGGGGCTAAACACTTACGTACGTTGCACTTCAGCGTTTTCTTGAAAACAAACTGTGACGTTCGAGTTTCTTAGGAAATCACCAGCCAAACCAACACTTTATTTTGTTTTAACAAATATTTTATATATTATTTTTTCACCTTTTTTCTCAAGCTAATTTCCTCTTTTCATATATTGATTAGTATCACCACTTTATTACGTTGATATTACACGGTTATTAATATTATTTCACTTTTAATTTTTCTCGGTGCAAAATATTTTTCTTTTCTTCACATTTTCCACGAAATTCTCCGTTAACGAAGCGAACAGTACAAGAAATTCTTTGCTTTTGCCAGTTCTCTTTTACATGATAGGCCTCTTCGTTGCGTATTTGTTCTGTCAGCAAACGTCAATTCATTGTATTTTGACATTTACAACAAAAATGACAGAAAGATGGCGCTAGTCAAAAATTTAAATATCGATAAATCAACATTTCATACGGAATTTTTAGAGACCAAAACAAACAAAAAAATGTTTATTATTCTAATTAATAGAATTATTGGCTAAACGGTCAATAGTTGTTACGAGTATCGCCAAATACATATAATCAGTTTTCTTGAAATTATTTCTTGTGTTTAACTGTTCATAATTGAGAATTGGTTGGGACTGCAAGACCCAAATAATAAGGAAATTTTGTGGTTGTAGTTCTCTATTTTTCGAAACCACTCTATTAACAAAATAGCTTCTATTAAGTAAAATCGTCACTGTCGTCGTAACTGACGTTAAAATACAGTACAATTTTTTTTTACCACATATATTGATATAACATATATTTGGTATGACTATTCTGCTATTAAAGACTGTAGAAGAATCCAGACATTACTCGGTATAATCTAGTTTCTCTAGAAACATTGATATAAAAATGTGAAAAAAATTTATACAAAATTTTGTTGTCGAAATTTAAATTTTATATGAAATTTTATCCACTATTCGTTAGAAATGGATGTTAGATTGGGCTTCACGCCTGGATACCTCTATTTTTTTAATAACTTAATATGTAGTCTTATATATTCATATGTATAAATAAATGTAGTAATTTAATATTGATATTATAGGCATTTTTTTTATGTGGAATTTTACATCAATTATTCGTGCAAAATGAATGTTAGGCTAGGCTTTCCTAACCAAAACACATATTACCGAGTAACCCCTTGATTTATAAACTTACATGCCACCAGTTGTAATATGAAACCGCCAAAACAATTAATATTGTTAACTTTCAGTCGTATAGAAACTGAAAGTTAAAAAATAATAATTTTATTCAGTATTTCTTATTTCTATCAATTTTTCTTTCAATATTATATATTGCAAAATTAAAATTTCGAATTTAACTCAAATTTTGTGGAACACTGTCAACAACAAGAGATTCAATTCATTTTTTATTTATGTTGAAAAAATTTTTGAACCTGATACCTCAATAATTTGATATAGTTATTAATTAAAAAAAAAAAAGACAATGTAATTAATAATATTATTGCAAGTTTTCAAAAACAATATTTCGACTTACTTGGCAACTCAGCCTTCGTACTTGACACAAAGCAACATATAACAGCTGATATAAACGTTGGCTTTTATCGACTTATCAAATTACTAATAAGAAAATTCTGCGTCTACACTAGTTTGACTTTTAATAAGATTATTGCATACACTCTCACTTTGGCACTAGCCATAAAAAATATAATTTGCGGACAAAATTCTTGCTAAAAATCTTGCCAAAGTCTAAACAGTGTAGATGTCCAATAAGAACGCAATTAAACAAAATTCGAAATTAATACGTATTTGCATGTGAACATAGAAATCTTGCCAAAGTCTAAACAGTGTAGATGTCCAATAAGAACGCAATTAAACAACAGCTGATGTTTGTTATTGTGAAATGTATAACATTCACATAAAAAATTAATAAATGTAAAAACAAGAACATAAAATTGAATGCCTATATTTATACTGATGGTTTTCTTGGAATTTTCTTGCATTTATTTGACACTAAGCAACAAAACAGCTAATTCGAATGTAAAGTAAAAAACTTTAATAATATTAAAATAATTGAAAAACAGTTGAGATGTTTATCATATTATCAGTTCTCTCATACGATAAGATGATAAAAGTGAAATGTTATAACATTTGCTTTCATAATTATAGGATATGTATCATGGCCGTGTGCGAGTTCGAGTAAATTAATGGTAAATTGAGGAAAATAGTAAATTATGTCGGTATTGCAGCGAATGTTGGTATTTTGCAGAATTTCTAGTAGGATAAATTAAATAAAAATTAAGTAAATTAGATGTTACCAATGTGAATATTTTATAAGATGTTTAATTAATAAATTTGAAAACTTTTAACCAAAAACAATAAGTGCAATAAATAAATAATTAAATATTTACATATGTAAGTGCAGTACAAAAACTGCCTAAGAAATTTCAACTTACTTTATTAATTTACTCGAACTCGCACACGGCCTATATGCCGTGGAAAAACGATTTGTTACTAAAATGTTATTGAAATATTATTTCTAACTATTGTTAATAGTAAGAAATAATTTAATTTATTAATGGTATAAATTTTGTACTGGAATTAATTTGCAACAACAATTGCATAGCATTCATTGCCATTCATATATTAATTAATATCATTGAAAGAATAAATATCATTAATTGTAATTAACGCTACAGCTTAAACGGACTATACATTTTATACTAACTATAATATACTATAACTAATATAAATCATACACAAAATATTATAAATATTGCAATATAAAAGATAAATATGATGTAAAATGACAAACATTTTACGATTTTATACTTGTTTATCGATTAATATGTAGCTCCAATACAATATTTTACCATCGTTAGTCGGCTTTTATTGTTGTTTAGATATTGAAAACGACCGGTATTAATTGTTTTATATGTATATAAGAACTAAGACTAATATTTTTTTTAAATAGTGTATTAAATTAATAAATTGTGTGTAATTAAATACGTTTATTTATAATTATACATTAAATAAAATACAACAAATAATTGTCGCTAGAAATGGTAATTAATTTCAGTGTAACCATAAATACCATTATTTCACAAAGATTTATCTTTATTCTAACATTAACATACAAAATCTTTAAATAAAAAGCATTTTATGATATATAAATCGTCAATAATTTTATTAAGAACATTCTTTTAGAAATCGAAAGAGATTATATATACAACCCCACTTACATTATATTGTCTTATTTATTATTTAAGTCTCACACACATTTGTTTTAACATATAAAAATAAAGCATTTTAACAAATTTTTAAAAAATGAAATTAACCAATGGCTCTTTTCATAAAAAAGTTTTTAATACTTGGTATATTATGAGTTAGCTGCAAGCCAATGCTACGTAAAAAGACCACTGGACTGAAGTCAGTTGAATACAAAGACTGAAGACCATGTACGCCGACAAGAATTGGTATATTCTTAATTAAGCTCTTCCTTTCGTATTGTATAAGATAATGTTTATCACCAATCTTCGCGCCAGCGTACACAGCATCAGACAATGCTTCAACCAAATACCGAATGTCGCTGTAACCTAAATTGACGCCTTGCCCAGCCATTGGATGGATACGATGAGCAGCATCACCAATTAAAGCGGCGCCAGTTGAAACATAACTTGCAGCATGTAGAAAACCCAGTGGAAATTTTGCACGAGTATTGTCTTGTACACCAGTAACGCGCGGTGGTAGATGCAATGTTTGTTGATTCTGTTGCTGACCCATTAGAGAGTTAAGTGCATTCAAAGACTTAACAATTAATTCACTTTTAGGGTATTGCTTCACGAATGCTTCATTAATTGCATCTGCGAACTCCTTGTTACCCATTTCACACAGCTGACGAGCATGTTCTTGAGTGGTGCTCCAAACCAACGAAGAAGTTTTATCATTTAACGGTAACAAAGCTATTGGACCAGTTGGTATGAAACGTTGCCAAGCTACAGCATTGTCATCTGCGTCACTCACATCGACAGTTGCAACAAGACCCATACGCTGGTAATCAACAGAGAAAACATTTACTCCCATTTGCTGGCGCACAACTGAATTAAAGCCATCAGCACCGATTAATAAATCACATGAATACACTTGACCGGTTTTAAGATGAACCTCTGAGTAATTACTGCTGTTTTCAGACGGCAAGGAAACCTTCTCAATTCGTACACCATTGCGTATTTCAACGTTCTTTTTAGCATTTGCGTCTTGTAACAATGAATGAACCGCTTCCAACATCAAGTCATTTTCAATAATGCAAGCGATGTTATCAGCGAAATGCTCATTGTGGAAGTGTATGAGCGCATCGCTACTGGCGTCCCACACTTGCATGCGTTTTACCGGCTTAACGCGAGCAGCTTCCATACGATCCCAAGCACCAATAGTTTTGAACAAGTCAACTGCATTCTGATTGATGGCTGAAACACGGTTACCATATGGCGCACTTGGATTGAAACCCTTGAATGGTGGTCCTCCCTCTAGTAAAAGTACACGCTTATCAGCAAGTACTGGAGTCTTAGACAAAGCCGCGGCGAAAGTTGTACCAACAAGTCCACCACCTCCAATTATAATATCGTAGTGTTCAGGCTGTGGTTTAGGAGCCGTCGCTAGAGCGTAAGAAGCACCCGTTGTGGCGTTGCGCACAAGCATTGCACGTATTTGGTGCACGAATTGGCGGTTCAAAGCAATTGACATTTTAATAAAATTTTCAAATATTCTTCACGCTCAAAATTTCTAAAACTCTCAATTCTAAGTTAACAAAAATCGACACAATATGTTGGATACAATAATTATTTATAAATTCGAAATATTTCTAATTGTTCACATCGTTTTTGATACAAATTTTTGTAAAGGCAATGAACAGCTGATTGAACTGACAGCAAACGATTGTGGAATTGACATTTATCGATAAATTTTATACGTCAACAAAGCATACGCGAACCATAATTGCGGACTTTTCGAAATTTGATTTTAATTAAATTAATGAATTCAGTTATTTCAGTTTTAATAAACATAAAATGTTAACTTTTTTTAATCTGTACTAAAACATAAATTAAACAACGATGAATTGTTATGTACAATATAGAATATGAAAATTATATCTACGAAAATTAATGGTTCACACAATTAAATTATGAAACGAATACTTTGAAATACAATAAAAGCGCGCTTAGGCGAATACATATAAAAGAAGTAAATTTGTCCAATTGAAAGAACCGTCAGTTTAAGAGAACTTATTTTGTATAAAACCTAAGACTAGAACTACCAACTCTTCACGGTTAAGAAAGATGCACGTTTATGAAGTTGACAGTCTAACAAATATTTCTTGATATTATTTTCCACGGAAGATATTACAAAAGATGCAAATAAGTTATAATTTTGTAGCTTAGCTACAATTGCTTGGTACTACGAAATAGTTTGTTTCCAAGAACGGTTGAGTCTGTGTCCGGAGTCACTCGTCAATCTCGACGACCAAGTGCCATTCGCCACACCCCAAATGGGTTTTACAAGCGTCTTTCAACCGGCTACAACAATAAAAACAACAACGAAACAGTTTAAACTAAGATGAAATTTTTCTTCCATAAGTCCACCAAAGCACTTTTACATACCGATAGCTATTTAAGCTATTGAAGAGTTCAATAAACTCTTTAGGTTAATAGTTTCTTTAAATTCTTCTAAGATGTATTACTAAGTATATTGTTACATTGTGTTAACTCTGCCTTTAGCTTATTTTCTGTAACGCCGCCTTATAAAAGTAAAGAATGATTGTGTTTTAGGAACATCCTTCATTAATCTATAATATATAAGGTTCAGTGTGACTATTTATATTTATTTTCTTGTTAAAAAAGTTTTATGAGATTATGTTTTTTTCCGAAATGATACCAATGATAAGGTCCGCGATTTTTTGTTAATCCAATATGTGAGTAGCAACGTGTTGTTCTGACAAAGCCATGTTTTTTGAATATGACTCGTCTTCATCAATATATTTTAATACAGTGATTCCAACAATTTTATAACATATCTATACCTATACATATCTATATATACTATGGTTTGTTCCAACTTTAAAATAGATCTCTTGTTGAGTAAACACTTTTTCATTCGCTCTCAAAGCATTGTTTTGTAATTTCGAACTAAGTATTATATTATTCGCTGGACGTTGAATCTGGCAAGTACAGTACCTCAGTACCTTATTCTAACGAATTTTAAAATAGGAGTGAATACATATTCTCTACTCATTCCCTCTTTTCATAACTATAGCCAAGCGGTTTTCTATCCAGTTAATCAAGATTACCTTATCCGTTCTAGTTATACTGTTATCTCTAATGCTATTGTTATATATGTCTACATGATATCAGTAGACACAACTAAATCTGGTATCGTTAATAAGAAAGATCACTGAACAACATTGATTTATATACTAAACAAATAACTCAGTTCGATTTAACAATGCATTTTGTTGCTGCGTTTATATCTTTTACCGAAGATTCTTTAAGATTTCTATAAGACTGAAAAGAGAACACCTCTTCAACTCACAGCACAACACAGCAAAACAATAAAACACCAAACTAGTAGGGTCCCTTCTCAAAAATACTAATAAGTTTTTTAAAGAATTGTGTCTTCATTATAGTTAAAGTTATATGTGCCTTACAGTCATACTCTTTTTCAGAGCATGTTTTATATTATGTATATATATTATGTATATAATATAATATTATAATAATACTATTATAATAATTATGATTATTAGTTCTTAAATGCTTAAAGGTCAACAAAGGAGTTTCTAAATTCCATTTTTACAGCAAATTGTATTTGTTCTAATTTTTCAAATTTTAGGGTCGATTTTATAATCGTTACTTAAGTCCCAATACTGGCTCAAATATGGCTTAAAATACCGAACGTGACCACAACTTAAATCAATATTGAGACTTAAGATATAACTGTAAAATCAGTAATTCACATTCGGACGTCAAATTATTTTTTATGCATGAATACAGATCATATTCGCATTCTGCTGTATTAAAATTTATTGATGAATTTTTTTTCAAAGCTTGAGAAGGATTTCTTTAATAAATACTAATTATGTTGATAAAAGCTTCAGCTCCCATTGTAACCTCTGTATAACTAGTTTATGCAGCTGATACTCCAATTTATATACTTCAAGGATTCTTATTAAAATTCTTAAATCGTTCTACGTTTAGTTCAAACAGTTCTAATATCGACTTATATTATCATGCTATAAATGCTATTAATCTTGAAAATTGTCACAGCACATTCTTTTTTGTTTTCTTCATCTTTTCTTCTAAAGAGGAAAACAATAAATAAGAGAGAATCACATTTTTCAGGTCATTAATAGTAACATTCTTCCCTGAAATCCAATAGATAACTACAACCTCTTATTTTTAAGCATCCTAGTTTTAACAAATGGAATAGATAATGCATTGTTAATGTCTCCATATGTCGACAATATCTCACTCTATTTTTATAGACTGCTCATTCAGAATAAAGAGTATTCCGTCACCATTTCTGAGTCTTTCTTAAAATAAGACTATTAATGCACAGCTCTATGTATATTTTCGTATGAAGATATTTCACTCTTGTATATGCTTTTTGAGGTTTTAGTTATTCCATTTCTAAGTTTTCCGTATTGTCGTTGTCTATTGACATATCAACTGCCACACAAGTTTCCATTTCCGAAAAGTATTCTTACATGCACTGGTGGTATAGTGTGAACACAAATGGCAAAACGAATCTAATTAGATTAAGTATTTGCATGTCAAGTTCTTGTAATTGGGCGAAATTCAGTAGAAAATGGACTTTTCAAATGTAAACACAACAATCGCCCATCTAAGGTGTCGCGAATCGTCACATTAAAAAACACTGAGAAGTTACATAAAACGTTAAAAAAAATACGCTTAGTTTTATTTTTTCAAAATATGAACTGTGACTTTGTCTTTGAGACGCGTTCAAAATCTCAAGAATCACTACGTAGTAGCGAAGAATATTGCAGTGAAATTTACAAAATTCAAAATAAATCCGAAACCGAGTTTCACGACAGCTCAAGTGCCTATAATTTATATCCAAATTACAAAATCGTTTGCAACGAAGAATTCGATGAACAGCAGGAAGATGACTTTCTAACCAGCGAGAGAGATGTGCAGTCATTAGAATCGGGGGAAGCACAAAATCGCATCTCGCATATAAATTTCAATAAGGTCGAATGCAATGGTAAATTGCATATAAATTTAAATGCTAGTAAGATTGCATTAAAATCTCAGGCAATAAAAATCAATAAATCAATCGAAGACGAAACTTCAGCGGAAAAGTTAAAAAGCCTCAAACACACCAAAGCGACACTAGCAACTGATGTGAACAGACTCGAAGCGGCGCAGCAGAGACGTGAACATGTGCCAATTTCCTTCACAATTGTTCCAATTAATTTAACACATAAAAAATATGTGGCAAATGCTAATGACACTAAAAATTTGCCAGAGATTGTATTGACTTCCTTCGAGACACGCAACGCAATAAGGAAAAAAAAATTTCAAACAAACGCAAACCCAACAATAGAAACAAAAACGAAGGCGCCAATTTTAAATAATCCCCCCGAACAACAATTAAGATACCAAAAACAACAACAACAACAATCAACTTATAGAACACTTACAAAATTATTTCAGCCTCCAACAACGTTAGCCCCAGCTCACGCCACGACAACCACGCCATCAACGTCATCAACGACACCACATACCACAACGGCACACCCATATATACTACCACCGCCATCTAAACCGGAAACTAAACGTCGAAACACATATGCTATAGAGAAATTAAAAAAATTACCCGCCAAAATTGAGGTGGAAACGGAAGTGTACGATAAAGTGTACGACGTGGAAGATAATAGCGAGATTTATTCACAGCCCGATAGCTCTACATCACCGGAATCTTTAATGGATAACGTATTAAGTGCAGCGTCTTCAGTGTCGGTACGCAGCAGCAGTTTGAGTAGTGGGGGTACGGAAATGACTCAATTAAATACCAATAGCAAAATTGTTGTTAGAAGTGAGAGCGGCAAAAATGTCGCAGCAACATCTCCGAACACTGCATCGGCAATTAGTGCGCTTGAGCTGCCACAGATTAGTAGTAGTAGTAGTAATGTACTAGACAGTGGATTGAGAAACGTGAATGATGTCCACGTTGTTGTGAAAGAAATACCCGCTAATCGCACTTTGAACTCAAAGTCCCCAGAATTAAAAATAGTGCCCATGCTACAGTTGTTGCCATCGCCCACCGTAACTCAATTGAACGAATTGCAGACACTGCAACCACCGGAACTGTATGAGGCCAACTCAAATCGTTCAAGGTATGTGCTTAGATATGCGAATAATTTATCAAATGATTCATGTACGTCAAGTCAATTATATTTAATGTCAACCTGAAAGCAAATTTTGTGATAAGTACTCGCTTTAAGTCTATAACTAAAGTAAGTCAAACTATATAAATATGAGTTCTAAATTATTTCCGAAAATGTGACTGGTTTGACTGGTTGTCAAATATTGTATGACAGTTTTTATTGCGGATCAAATAGACAAAAAGGTGCAAAATAAAAATTAATTCTTAAATGACATTAAAAATAAATACTTTAGCTATTGTCTAAATAATTTGTTCTTGCGTGATCTATAAATGGAAATTCAATTGATTCCACATTAAGTAGAGTGCTATACTCACATTGCAACCATCACTGTACCTCAACTGTACATGTACGTCCTATATCTCTTTTCTTGGAATCGCAAGTGTATTACTCATGAACTTTGACTAGATTCAACATTTATTAACTATTACATTGGAAAGTAGTGAATTCGAAACAGGGTTACAACAGGTTTACAATTTTATTAAACATATTGCAAGCCACATTCATAGAATTATTAGGTTGGTTCCCTTCTACTTGAATGGCAGAGTCGCGTCTTCTCTAATTAACGCTAACTTTAGGTTGGTTCTTCAGGTCCGTTGTATGGACAGTGTCTCTTTCATTGTATCGCAACAGCTTATTATTTGTGATTGAGTGAGTTTTGGTGTTCAAGGTTGCCACTCCAACCTAGCCTAACCAAACCTATGATTTTAAATAATTGATTTGGGCGTTTACCATCTCAAGTAATGAGTACTACAAAGGGCTAAAAAAAAAACTCATGTACACAAAATGTATTTTGTTGTTACTTCGTTACCGTGCACGTTACAAGTGATCATGAGTACCGCCATTATTTATTTATTAAATATATATAATTTTGTCTGGTATTTTAATTCCTATTTGAAGACAATTCTATGTGATGATGTTCTAATAATTTCATGCCTGAATGTGATCTATCAGGTAATACATAATTAATATATGGTATATTCTTAATAAAATAAGACTATAGTTAAATTATTTATTGGTACGCAACTTAATTTTTCTAGCATGAATATATCTTTTTTATAACGACGATAACGTAACCCTATGTAATATAGGTATATAATAGTATGACTCTATTATCAAAAAAATTAGTTGAAATTTTTAATTTTTATCTTTATGTTTTTGTTGCAGAAGTCCATCACCAAGTCAGAGTATATCCGTACGTATAACTCCAGATCCATCTGCTTATCCAGACTACTTGAAATGTTCGATCTGTCAAGAAGTTTTTCGTGATCCCAGAACATTAAACTGTTTGCATTCGTTTTGCTTTCAATGCGTCGTGGATGAAAATTTCAAACAGGATAAAAGTATACCATTTTGGTCTCAGCCGAGTGGGACTGATAATGATTGGAAAGGTGAATCTATTTTCAATACCAAATATCAAATAAAACTAGTACTTTTTTAAGTTGTGATAAGTTTCAGAGCATTATGTATTATGTATTTAGAAAAAACAATTTAAAATTTAGCATCAATTAATTATTTATGTATATATATTTATAGAGCTTGAGCTGTTAAGTGTTAAATATATTTTTTTATGTATATATGTAAATATGTATGACTTTGTACGAACATTTATTCATATATAATAGAATTATAAAAAGTACTATTCAGTAACGAGTGATAATGCTACATTAACAATTGTTAAGTTAAATTTTAAATTTAATAATTAGTCTAATATATTTTCTATAATGTATATATAATATGTAAGAATTACTAATAAATTATTACAGAATTTTTGTATAGATAAATTTTTTTTTTAGAATTTAGTATTTAATCAATTAGTAATTTAGAATATGAAGTATTATTTTAATATATATTAAAATTGGCATCTATTAATACTCTTTTGTTTCCTAAGCTAAGAAAGTAATTTTGGAAGTATTTCATCTTATTGCATATATTGTTAATTATATTAAATATACTATAACATTTCGTTGTATACAAACATATATATATATATATATATATTTAATTATATATACATATTTATTTAATTATAGATATATATAAATATTTATTTATAATAGATATTTGTGCAAATTAATTTATTTAAATATTGCTTCTTTGTATTGTATAAGTTTATGTTTTGAAAGTAATTGGCCTGGTTTTGTTCCTTTCATTATATATTCTTTGTATTATTGCTTTTATATATATATTTTGATTTTTTTGTATGTATATATGATTTTTGATATATATTAATATATAACTTTAACATATTGTATTATTTAATAATTCATAACAATTCAAATTTTTACCATTGAGAGCAACGGCCATTGCCTCTTGCCGTGTCTTTAAGAAATTACCTACCCAATGTGTGGTCAAGTCTAAATATTTTGTTTTTGTACCTGGACTATAATCCAAAAATCCTGCTTTTGGTATAACCTCTTCAATTTGACTACCATCAGGCCAATTATTATAGCTGGCTATATTTATGAAACCAACATGATTAATTATAGCTGTACGCCATGCCACACCATAATACTACAAATTTAAATAAAATAAAATAAATAAAAATTAAAAATTCTCTGCAATAACAAGAAATCTATTTTATAATATAACTAATTGTGTACTTACTCTACCATTGCTGCGATGTCTTTGTATATCTCCGTGACGTGGAAATTTATTTCGTTCAGCAAAACCTGGACCAACTGTTGGTACAAATAACATTTTGTAGGTTATTGCAAAGGATTTTAGATATGACCAATTTTTCCACGTGCTTGCGAATGTGGCTCCATTACTTGGTAATTTGCTATAAAATCCATCAAAACAAAGGCGACGAATAGTTTCTGCATGATTTTTTAACCTATTTAAAAAGAAATATATATCAGAAAGCAAAATTTGATATTTAATTATGAATACCAACTAGAAAATTGATTCAAAATATATAATCCATAACAGACCTCTACGTCGTAGTATAAATACCCCAAGATAGCACAATAATATAGTTCTTAATTTACATTACTATATAATAAGGTAAAGGGGCAATTACGAACTCGCCTAAAAAGTTCTTACTTTACTTACTTTTGGAGTAAGTGAATTTCACTCACAACATCCGAGCGAAGATGTAAATCTGGTACCACGGGGGTCAGGGCCCGCAACTTCGGCTGTCCTGACCATTGTGGCTGGCTCATTAAAGGGAGTGTCGTGTTGATTGTGGTTAAAATCGAAATAAACGCGGATTGTATTTGTTTGCAATCATTCGATGTGAAGTTGCTTTTTCCAACCGGGTGTTGTGACCCTTGTAGGGTCCCTATTAGTCATTTAAGACTTCCATCTGTGCGACCTGCATCCAGACCCCGCTATTGATGCAGTTAGCTAATCTTGTACTTCGTCTTGATGTAATAGAAAAGTTTGCTCCAACTGCCTTCGGTCGAAATCTACTTTTTTCAACTCAGGATCTTTTTGGAATACTTTGTTATGCAATCCCTGTTTATTTTGTTTTTAATCATTTTTTCTGTCACCGTCTTTGGTAAAAGAATATCAACTTACGCTGCTAGCACCGGTAACCAGTCATCCACAGCACATGCGGTAGAGGTAGCTGTTGAAATATTCATGATCAGATAGGAATTAAGTGATGTAGTAGTTGACCTCTTCGAAGTCCATTGCTGGCTAGTTTTGTAGCTCTGGTTTGATCCATTGCCCACGGTTACCTGTGACCGAATATTGCTGCCATACTGCTTTGGTCTGACGCACTATCGACTACCTGTCCATATTATTGTTTCCCATGCGCTTTGTTTACTAATACGGCTTTCGCTTTTGAGCCTGCAAATCAAAGGATGTATTGATAATAATCACCTGTATCGCTGCTTCAGAAACAGTACGGTATGCTAAAGATATCCTTAAAACTACCGATGTTAAACGACACTTGATTATCGATATTGACGAGTGGTTTTGGGACTTAGACATAATACTTAAACACTTATTGTCGATCAAGGAAGATTTCATAGGTCTGGTTTAATGAATTGTGTATGAAAGAGAAAACTGAACAACTGTTTTTTAAGAATTAAAGTTGCGTCGTAAAACAATGAGATAAATGAAAGCTAGATACAGCTAGAAATTAGCTGAACCATAACTGTTGTGATAATAGGAGGAAGAATTCAGAGCACCTACGAAATTTTTTAGAGATTTTTTATAATTTAAAACTCCAAACCGATATGAGAATATAAAATGAATAGAAAATTTAAAGAAATGCTGAAATAAATTCTACTGCTTATTTTGAATTTCATGCAAAGCATTTTACTCACCTAATATGTCCAATAAAAAATGCATCAAATGTGCGTCTTAAACTGTCCGGATGAGTTCGGCAGAGTAAATGTCCAACGGTGTCACTCAACTTGTATGCATTGCTCACATATATCACAGGCATAAATGTACGTCGAGACACCGAATAAACATGATAAAATGCCGGGGATGCTGCAAACTTCCGTAAATCCAACAATTGTTGACGCAAATACTCAGCACTCTGATTGCCAGCTACGCTAATCTCGAATGTGACACTCAAGTTGTATTTTGGCACCAGTTCAAGTATTTGTTCGTACAAGTCGAAATCAGTAGACTTGGAGGCAAAACTGAGTATAATCACACCGACGCCACAATTGTTTATATTGTCGAAATGCCTTTGCAGTAGATTCACTGTGGGCTTGTACAGACCCAATGAAGGATAGAATGCAGTATTTAATATGCGTATCGGTTTCGGTGTTGTCAGCTCTGTGTTGTTATCCTCGGTAAGAATTTCTCTAGCCGGATGTTGTGCTTGAGTTTTCTTAGTCTTGTACCATTGCACTGGTGCGCTATAGAAGATATGTATGCTACTTGTCAATGTGTCCAAAGTTGTGTGCTCGTTTTCCGTGTCCCAAGCATTTTGCTGCTGTTGTTGATGTTTTCTGATATTCTTAATTTTGTCTTGTATAATGCGTGCCTTTATCTTATGTTCATCGTATTTCTCTGGTACAATGACACCATTCTGTTGGGGTGACTTCAGTAAAGGTGGTTGATCCAGTTTTGCGCCAGCATACGCTTTCGCTATAAAACGTTCATCTAATAAACGTTGCTCACTTGACCAGTTTTGCGTTGTGGATGCCGAATTTAGAACGATTAATATTATCAGAATTAACACAATGACAAAGAGGCAGAAGAGTATCTTAAGTTTTCTGCGACTTTTTATGAATTTTTTGAGAAACATTTTCACAATTTAAATTCCGTTCTTGCAAATCTTGTGTCATTTTACATTGGCTAGGATACGTTTTTATTTCTGCCATCAATGGCACTAACACGTCCTCGCGCAGTCATCTACTGCCAGTAAGTGAAGAGGCAAATTTTCATTTTTAAAAACCTTTTACGTTTCATACTCTACAAAAACAAAGGGAAAAAATCCATTAAACCCCGATTCCCTTGCACTTAGGGGTTTGTTTCAGTGTATTTGTGTCGAGTTTATATGTGTGAGTTCGTATGCCATGTGATTTCTGTTTATTGTTTACGTTTTGATTTCATATTCTAAATAGTCAATTGAGAACCGGTTCCATATTTTCGAAACTGCGCATGTCGGTTAATTTTTCTCCTCCTCTTCTTATTTTTCTCCATCTCAAATTGCATATATTTTCAGCATTTACAGCATTGTTCAAAACAGTGCAACTTTTACCGTGAGGGGGTGAGCACAAAACCGGTATTAACACACATTTAATAATTGACATTAACAACTCGTATTGCAGACTACTTGAATCAGAACTTTATTATGAATTCTGAAATCAAGTAGGTCTATTAGTACCTACTGAAGCGATAGGTGTCTAGTTAACTATGTCTACCAATTAATTCAACTAATACTTAGTAGAGCCAAAAGAACTTACTGAAACCATAAATGGTACCTATTGGTGCCATTAATACCTAGTAGAGCTAAAAGCATCTACTGAAGCCATATATGGCTAGTGAACTATACTGAAGCCATATATGGTTAGTGAGCTATAGCTGTCTCTTGGTGCCATTAATACCTAGTAGAGCTAAAATCATTTACTGAAGCCATATATGGCTAGTGAGCTATAGCAGTCTATTGGTGCTATTAATACTTAGTAGTGAACTATAACTGCATATTGGTTCTATTAATACCTGATTACTGAACTATAACTATAAATACATACGGGTACCATTATTACCTAGTAGAACGTAGGGTATTGCTAATTTCGGTTCTAAGATTGCTTATGGCTTCTAGTGCCATAACTGTCTACTAATATAGTAGAATCCTATAACTTTTGAAATTCACGATACTTATAGCATTACTCTCCTTGCTGACAATTTCTTCAACCAAGAAATTCTCTTTGAACACTATTGTAGAAGAATAGAACATTTACACGGTATTGATTCACAGTAACATATTTAATCGACTATTACTATTGATTTCGATTTATTCCTTTAACAACTCACAAATATAAATTAGGTTCATTCAATTTTTTGTGTTTATAAGGAATATAAGTACCGAACTGCTTTTTATTACCAACTTTAAACAGATGGTTTATGATCTTCAGTTTATGGTTGATCTTCATTTTCTTAGTGTTATCTTGCCTGGTTACAGGTTAGTCTTTTTATTCTTATAATTTCATCCAATTTTTCGTTGATTGACCTCTCAACATCCCCATATCATTACACTGCAGTTTCCATAACAGTTTCCATCGTGTGAACTAAACACACAAATATTTCCTATTCCTTGTGTCGCACTACACCCTTTATCAATGACATCACTTTTATCTGGTTCAATCTGGTTCCCTGATTGACGATTGGCTTTGGGACGTAGACCGGGCCGTTCTTCAAACCTTGGAAATCTGTAACGAGTTCTGTTTGAAATCTTAATGTTGTTGTTTTCCACATTCTTTCTGGATTTTCAGTATTATTGATGAATTCAGAATTTTAACATAAATCTTTGTACGTGTTTACACGTACAATTATTGGATCTCGCCAGCTCATTTTTGTATGGATTTTGTATTAAAATTTTGTATTTAAAAATTAAATCGATTTTTCAACTTAATTGTGGTAGTGTAAATGTCTTCTAACATCAAATTTTCGTTATAGCCACGAATAAATCCAATTATAGCCTGCGTTCTTCTTCGCCAGAAATGTCGTTACGTAGTAATTCGGATCCACCAACATCACCGTCTATGCAACGACGTTCTTCGTTTAGTTTCAAACGTAAAAAGTCATTGGAAAAAATTTTATTGAAAGTAAGTAAAATATATATATATATATATATAACTTATAATAAACTAATTTTTATTATAATAATTTATTTATTCTCAGATTAAAACTGATGGCAAAGGTTCCGATAGTTCATCTTCCATGCGTTTAAATAATATAAACGATGAAAAAGGACGAATAATCACATGTAAATTATGCAATTTTACAACAGAATTACCTATTGGTGGTATAAGACAACTCCCACAGAATTTCATACTCGTGCGTAAAATCGAAGAAATCAAATTAAAAATGGGTGATGAGGTTATTGCTCGTGTTTGGTGCAGTTTGTGTTTTGAAGAAACTAGCGTAAGTAACTAATCGATATATACAATATATAGTAGATTATAAATACAAATATAACAAAGGTTATCACAATCATTATTTGGGACTCGAAATCTTTATATAAATCAGAGCTGCGAACCGATTCTTCCGACTTCTTAACCGAGTTTGTAGTCTTGCATTTATAAAAGGAGTAAACCAAAACAATAGTTTAGAATATCCTTAAACTACCAAACTGAACCACTTTGGGAACTTATGCGGCGCATAATGTAAACATATGTCCAGATAGTATGCAATCTTGAAAAGTACACTAGAGGATATACTAGAAGTATACTAAAGTATATTAATTCAAATTTTTAAATTAATTAATAATCTTTATATTAATTAAAGATCATATTAAAATAAAAATACATCGTTTTTGAATTGATCATATAGCTTATATATACTTACATTTTTGATGGCAAAATCATATCAACAGTAATTCAAGAGAAACGCCATTGTCTACTCTGTCAATACTCATCAATCTGTTCGAAATTTGTAGTAAGGCAACATTATCAGGTTTCCTCAAAAACAGTGGAATAACGTGAGCTATAACAAAAGCTCTCAAAAATAATCTTACCTTATATAAATATATTTCAGCTATATTTACTATATAATTTCATATTGAATATTATAAAAGTAGTTATTGTTGTTGTAATTTGCTGGAATCTAGAAAACAGACAACATGAAAATAATTTATGAGACGAATATATAGGTTTAATTAGGGAGAATTAGGGAAAAGATTGTGTGGATTGGGGATGAGATTTAAATTAAAATCACACCGGGCCCAGAGGGAGAAACCTGGCCACTTCACTGAGGTGAACTCGAAGATCGATAGGACGGCAATTTGAATGTGCAGTAGGGCACGAGAACAGCTCAGCGACATCATGAGGGATAGAGTTGGTAGAGCAGTTATTTGGGCACACATCTTTTTCTTTTTAAATGACATTTTGTTAATCACATCCCATTTTCGAAATAATTAAAAATTCTATTTCAATTTATTTCCCATTAGGCTACCTATCACTGTGTGACTTGTACGATCAATCTGTGTACGCTTTGTAAGGATGCTCATGAGAGACAACGTTCTACAGCTAATCATAAAGTAAAGAATATAATGGATCTGCGTAGAGCACGTAAGCAAAAACTAAGCATGTTGGGTGATAATAGTAAATTTACGTTAATTTGTGGTATGCATCCTGGATTTGAAATGAAGTCTTTCTGTAGTACCTGCTTACAGGTATAATAAAATTAACTAATATATTTTATATAAATTATATATTCATTTATTTTCTGGTGTTCTCTACTTAAAAAGATAGCCTGTGCTGATTGTTTGGTTTTGCTGCATAAAGGTCATAAGCATGAATCTATCAATAAGGCTGTGATGAACTATTCAAGAATATTACGAGATTCAGTTGAGCAGACACGTCCACTTTGTAATTATGCTGAACATTCTATAGAGAGATTAAATGAGATTTCAAAGAGCATCAATAAGAAATGTGATGAAATACAGAATGAAGTGGAAGTGTTTATGAAACAATATTTTGAAGCTGTGGAAGTGCATCGTAAAACGTTACTACAACAGGTGCATAGAGCACGTGAATCCAAAGTGGAAATGATACTAGAACAACAAATTGACTTGGGTAATTAATTGAATTAATCTCTCTCTCTCTCTCGAGAAACTTAATCTTATATTATCTTATCTTATATTAATCTTATTTTAGTGATAATATTTATGTTATAAGCAAGTGGGTTATAGTGACATCCTATAACAATCATTTTATTCATCTGGTGATTTTATCTTCCTTTATAAATTCTTGATTGAATAAATAGGTGGAGAAACTATCTTATATTCCATAACCATCTTTTAGATTCCTTACTGATTTATCACATTTATAATATTTAGATTCATACAAAAATATACATTATTGATTGAGTTTGGTTGAAGTAGTAACCTTGCATACCAAAACCCATTTGAGCACAAGTAACAGTCCATTGAATATACACTAGAATTTATCATAATTGTCTGTCTTTCAAGAATAGTCTGGTACTACCGTGAGTGTGCACTAAAACTACGAACATGCTTAAGGAATTTTTCAAAACAATTATACCTCTGTTTTCGGAATAGATTTTCAAGCACTCCTTTAATTTGCAAAAATGCCTTCTAAAAAATCTATATAAAGATACAACTCTATCTGGTATCGCAAGAAATTAATAGATATACGCATGACTTATGATCAATACGATTTACCTAACCTAACCAGCCTACCTTCGAATATCTGAGAGTGTAAGTCTTGGTTGAATTATACAATTCATTTCATATTGTACTAATACATTTATTTTATATATACCTATATAATATTGTATATATTAATAGATATATATACATTATATATACAATCTATATACATTATAAAGTTTATATGCATTAATAGAATTTAAAACTTATTGTTAGGCTTTAATTAAAAGTGATTCAATAAAGACATATATTTAAAAAAAAAATTAATAGAATTAATGTATCATTTTATGTGATTGTATATATATTGTATATATATGTATGTGATTGTATATATTTATATACTATATATATAATAAATTTATATCATTTTTTTAATAATTAGAAAAACGTAGTGGTGAAGCTATGGAAGCGGTACGCTTTAGTCAAGAGCTATCCGATATTGCCTCTGATGTAGAAGTACTGTCTTTTGTCAATATTTTATTAAAACGCTTTGAGTATTGTCAACAGTTCAAGACGCCGGTGGATCCCAAGGTAGGCGGCTCTTAAAAATACATCTTTAAATGTTAATGAATAAATCTCTCTTTAAATATAGATATCAAACTCTTTACACTTTTTAACGAAAATTCGTGCACCTGCTACTAAAAACCAAAATGACATACCACTTTTTGGTATTATAACTATGCAGACCGTAGAACCTGGTCTATGTACACTGCAGACTGAAGGTAATATTTAGCAATAGGTTTATGTTGATTTTAATAAAAATTTTTTTAATAAATAGGAATTGCACATTTGCGGCTCCATAAAAAAATTGAACTGATAATGTTGTCACGCGATGCAGATGGCACACCGCTCTGTCATGGAGGTTTGCAAATTATTGCCCAACTAAAATTTAAAGAATTTAATACTAAATTTCTACCAGTTGAAGTATGTACTGTATTATCTTTTAATTCTAGTCTATTAAGAAGATTGCACGTAATAAAATATAGTTATACATTACAGATTTCTGATCAACGTGATGGTACTTACACAATAACATTCACACCCGATTCTCCGGGTACTTTACTACTTACAGTTACTATAAACGATAAACCCATTAAGGTATGAACTATCATCCAAAATGTAGAAAAAAAATTATATATAACGTTTCAGTTTATGTACACATATATACTATTCAATAATAGGGACTGTGAATCGTACAAGTTATGGACAAGAACCTGTGACCTTTTAGTGTAATCAAACCGAATCTAGAACCGATTTATTGAGACTGTAAATTCTGCCTGAAATTGCTAATATAAAGACTAGATAAAACGAAAGGTTTAGTATATCATTTACTGAACAAAATTACTTCAGAAATATATCCGGTTCACAGCCCTATTATTAATGTAATCCTTATATACAATAAAAAGTAACTTTAAAAGCTTTATTAAACTTTTTGAACTTTATTTACTACTTTATTTAATAATGACCTATAACGACTTTATATCTTATAGGGTAGTCCTTTTACCTTCCTCGCCCGCACTGTGCGCCCACACAGCGGTATTTATCATTGCTGCACATTTTGTTCCAGTAAAGGTAACAAAACGGTTAAATGTTTCTGCGAAGGACGTATGCCAGGCTATAATGGTTGTGGACATGGTCATGCCGGTCATCCTGGACGTCGGCATTGGTCATGCTGTGGCAATGTCTTAGAAAATTCTGAATGTAATGTGGCAAATAAATTATTTAATAATTAAATTATGTTGACATAAGGAAATACATTTACTATTAGGTATGTATCGATAAAATTATATAAACGGAGATTATAAATAAATAAAGTTTTATAATCAAAAAATGAATTCAATTATTTATTAGAAACTTTATTAAGGTTTTAAGTAATATAAGAAAAAGTTGTTTGTTAAGTTTAAATTTATGAAACGGAAACTATAGTTAATATAAAATAATCCTTTTTGCACGTTTTATTGATATAAACTACAAATAAGAGTGGCTCGGCTCTATCTCAAAGGTCTAAACTAAAACCCATCAACTGCGATTTATTATTTATTTATATATTATATATTTATTTATTATATATATATTTAATATTTATTTATATATTTAAATTTTATTATTTATTTAGACTTAATTCAATTGCCAATTTATTTAAGAGCCTCAATCGATCAGGCGGGATTATGATAAGACTATAGATAAATAATTTGATAAAAGAAACAATATGAGATATAATATACAAGATAGAATATCTTGAAATATAAAAAATTTATAAGTTCAATTAACCGCAATCCATTTTTGACCATGTTAATATTAGTTTATTTATTTATTTGATATATGGACTGGATCTTTACACAATACACCTCAACACACCTCTACACCTGTATGTCAAAAAATACAAATAAGAGGTTTGCTAGAATATCGATCCATTTGACTGAGGTAATTGGATTTAATTAATTCGTCTCTTGATCTCATGTACATACATATTATTAATATTTCTAATATTAATATTTCTTTCAAATATAAAAAAGTTAGCATTGCATTTTCAACTTCTGAATTTATTTTTAAATTTTTTCATTAAAAAAAGTTTTATTAAAAAATAACTACAATTTGTATTTTAAATTATTGTTGAATTCTAATAAAACAACGAGAAAAAATATTAGAAAAAATTATTACTCCTGCAAAACTATATTATTAAATGCAGCAGTTCTTCTCTTTAAGGTGAGTTCAACATTTTATAATTAGAAAACTTCTTGAGATATAAGATAGCGAAGTAATAGTAAAATAATTATATCAAAAGTTAGAGAACAGAAGAAAGATTTATTTGAAATCATGATTCTTCTGGAATCATAAGCTAAGAAGGTCCTTTAACAGATATTCATCTTATGCATTATTGCCACTGATTATAGTCCGTTAACTGATTTGAAAATTCTCCTTCCTTAAGTGCCACAAAAGATAAGGACTGTATCTTAAAATTATTCTTTAACATAAATTAGAAGTTTTCTGAAATGGTATTCTGTACTAATTAGGATTCTTGTGAGTTCCCTTCGTTATTTAATATCATTTCAATTAAATAACTTAACAATACATAACTTTTAACTATATAGGACGATGCACTAAACTAAAAGCGATTCTTGGACTCAAATCAAATAAAAGCACTTCAAATATTTATTGATTTCTAATTCTCTGCAAATACCCGCATTTCACTATAAATCTTCCTTGTTAAACTTCAGAGAATAAATTAGATGGCGTTGCATTTTCAACATCTAAATTTATGTTTAAGTTTACACATCAAATTTTTTTTCTTTTGTAGTATTGTAACAAACAATTAAGTAGAAAATAATTATATATTTCTGACCCACCAGAGAGAGAAATTCTAAAATGCCAGATTATCAAGAAGTCTCTGCTTATTCGCAAAATATGACTGTCGCTGAAAAGATAAATATGTTGCGTTCAGTCTTCGAAAGATATCTTAAATCGCTCGATTTTCTACTAACATGCTTCATGAAATGTGCCCAAAGTGAGGATTATAACAAGTATATTAACATATATCCCAATGATTTTAAGACGAATAACACCTACGACATTAATGCACTCAGAGCAGTTATAGAAGAGATACCACCGTTAATAGTGGTTTGGAAACGTATCAAGAGCAATGAAATCCATCGTTTAAAACCTGAAGTATTGAATCTTTTATTTTGGCTATTTTTAGAAAAAAAATGCGCTAACATTTTTGAATGTACCCTCTATGACATAGTGGAGTTAAGAAAGCTTCTACCAACTACTACAATGGCAGACCCCGACTACGTCTTCAAGATATTGCCAACTACTGATAGATTTAATGATGTTGTCAAGCAATATCATGATGTACCCATCCACACCGCTTTTTTCGATCCACAAATGGAAACATTTTTTCATATTTTTAGTAAAGGATTTGATACTCTTGACAAAGTAATTTTAAGAAATGATTTTGAAAGAGCTTTTGGAATGGGTGAAAAGATTTGGATGAATTCTATGTTAGGCACAAAAATTTGTTGCGTTGGAGTGGTTTCGTTTGTGGCACACAGCGAAAGGATGAAAGTTATCGAGAACATTAGTGATCATTGTACCGAACTATATGACAGTGATTTGGCCAATTTAAAATTTATAATGGTGTATAAGACCAAAGACCCTGGACTTGTCGATAAAATGTGTGAAGTTATGATATTTTTATACAACAACAAGAAAGCAATTATATTAGGCTCAATGGTGGCCATAGTAGGAAAGTTTATTTTCAAAAATGGTAAGAATATGGCCTCGATAACGTTTGAACCTAAAAATGTTATAACACACGTCACCAGCAAAGTCCACGAAGCTTTCTTTATTGGATGGAAGGTTATTAAAGATTTGGCAACCCATGTTTGCAAATGAATAGAAATTTGTTGTGAATTTGTTGCTATTGTTATGATTAATTCAAGTTAATAAATATGTTACATACATACATTACAGATCTCAAAAATTGCTTTTCAGTCTGATATCTATAAAATTTTGTATACTTTAAATATTATTGCTAGTCCAAATTAAAAGAATGTGAAATATATATGCGCACACGTTACGCTATTTTAGTTTTATTAAAGTTATTACTAATAGTACATAATATTATATAGTGTAGTATATTATAGTATAATATAATATAGTATAATATAATATAATATAATATAATATTGTGTCTTGTGTCATTACTATATAATGAAGAAGACACAATAGTCGTTTTTTATTTATATATATTCTTTAAGTGATGAATTTATATAATTAAATTTATAAATTTGTTCTAATGTTCAGATAGAGTCTTTCAATAATTGTGCTAGTGGAATAAGACATCGCAAAGAGATATTCAACTCCAAAATAATAATAATAAACATATATATCTTTTATCTGAAACAATTAAAAATTTTTGTATTACCTAGAAATTTAAATTTTAGGTTGAAGACGATTGATTTCATTTTTCAAACAGTGATTGGAACAGATTGGAGTGGAGTTGGAGTGATAGTACCAATTTCATGTTGAACAAATCCATATGATATTGTAAAAGCACTCGCTTACATAAATAATATGATTTTAATTCAATTTCTTTAATTTTTTTTTTGTAATAACTTTTATTAATTTGTTTCTATTATTAATTTTATATTATTCCATTTTATTTTATGTTTTTTTTATTTTTTTTTATTTATTCACTTTTTTTATTTTTTTTTTTATTATATTTTGTATAATTTTATATTCTGTTGTTTTATTTTTTATTATTTTATTTTATTATAATATTTACTATTAAATATTATTTTATTTAATCTTATATTATTTCGTTTTATTTTATATTATTTTATTTTATTTGTTTTATTGTATTATATACTATTAAATATTATTATATTTTGATTAATTTTATTTAATTATATTTTATTTTATTATCATTTCATTTCATTCTAATTTATTTATTTCATATTTTTTACTTTATATTAAATTGTTATACATTATTTTATTATATATTATTTAATTCAATTACATTTTAATTTTTTATATAATATTTCATCTCATTTTATTGTATTTAACAATTTTTAATAACTTGTCGGGACATACTTCAGCGTTGTAAATTTAAGGACTCACTTGTGGAGCTTTGAGTAACTCCACAAAACAAACTGAAGTGACCAAGTCCGCGAAATACCTCGATCAACAAAGCCAAAACAGGACGTGCTCTATAGTTTGTGTCTTATGGCACCGTCCTGTTGGAACTACATTACTTCCACATTAAGGTCTTCACTTTCGTACCAAAAAAAATTAACAGTAGGGGTTAGAATTGACGGTTGTGTAAAAGCTTCATCAATTTCAAAATATATTAGCTATCACGATCAGCAAACTAAATATAACACTATTCAACCACTATAGACGCAATATTTTAAAATATTTTTATAAGCGAAACTATCTATCTTAGTTCTTCATATATTTTAATTCATTCAATATTTTAAAACTTTTTCAGCCGTCTGTCTGTCCAGTAGAAAATTATTTTTTATTTATATCAACATATCAAGAAGTACGTCTAATCAAATTGTTAAGACTCAAAAATTATTTATTTAGAAGAACTATCTATTTTACTATATATTATATACATGTATATATCTTTTACTTAAATACATTTTGCGTTTCTTACTCTTAAGTAACTGATCCTTTTTTTTTTTAATATATAATTATTTAACTTTTCCTAAAATAATTCATTTATTAATTATTGTGAAACCCGCTATATAAAACTGGCAAGCATACAAGACGGCGTAGAAAACTGAAGAGAAGTTCAAACTGAGATCTGACTTGGCCACTGACTTAAGTATTTTGCTATCTCAATTGAAAAGCGCCACAAGTCAAATATGTATATACTGTTGGGTGTTGTGTGTATTAAAATAAAATTAAATCTATATATTCTATTATATATAACCTTACATGCTTTCTTCTAAAACGTACATGGAAATTTTTTTCAATGTATATTAAATTTTATAAGTTATTTGCTAAGACAAAATTTTTAAAAATTGAAGGACATTGTTGTCTTCAGCTATTGTGAATTTAAAAAAAAATATATATACATCACAGAAGAGTCAACTCCGATTAATTGTTACATATTAAATGCAGTTCTATATGTTTCTTAATATTAATATAATAATATACAGGTATACTAATATAAGTAAGAGATATTGCCATTAATAAATTATGTTAGTTACAAAATACTGGAAAAAAGTGTATAGTGCCCCTTGCAATATAGTCGGACGGACGGGGTTCATTAGGGCTATTATTAGAGATTTTGCCTACGTTAACAATAAAAACAACTCTAACCTCCCTCCCTTCACTGGATTATAAAATGGTTAAAAGTAAAACAATGTCTTAAAAAGGCCAAAAGCCGATTACGTTTTTACTCCCAGGAAATTTGAAGCCCAATTGGATATACATGATCCGGTATTGGTGATTTGTGGAGCTTGAAACTAAAAATGGCACATTCGAGTGTCTGTAGGTTTAACTTAATAGAGTTAACCGATTAGAAATTTGAGTACTCTAAGGAAGCAGCTGCCGAAGTAAAAGATTCCCAGGAAATGAGTATCTAGTAGTAATTATAGGGATTCACTACTTTTATTAGATCATATCCCATCTGGTTTTTTTTAGTAACTTAACTTATATTTTTTAGTAACTTATTGCTTCTTAAACATGATTTCACGCTGTCTTAAGATTTTAGAGCTACTAGTAATTTCTTGGCAAATAAATAATTTTCTCGTGTAGCGCATCAACAAGTCGTTGTTATAGGTTTTTTTTTATTTTTTCTACTTCTTTCTACAAAATAATTTATTATCATGAAAATCGCATTGACGGAGAAAGAACTCAGTTTATTGTACGCTACTTTGTTTATTAGTGTTAATTATAGTTGAAAAGCAACGGCTGAGTAAGCAGAGTATCAAATTTAATTTAATTTAATTTAATTAAAAAATATACAATAATGAAATAATTTTTAAAATAAATAAATGAATTTGCATCTGGTCCGGTTCTAAAAACTTTCACTTAAAAACATAATCCAGAGCAGTCACGTCGTTCCAATTGCTTCGCTTCTCGACATGTCGGAACTAATAAGTACAAGAACTTTTTTTCAAATGTGATCAATTAATTACCTATAAAATTCGAACATAGGTTTCTTATCTGATTCCACCATTTTATAGGGTTTGTTTACGAGCATTAAAGAATTTATAAAATTGGTTATTTATTATCATGAAAAAGTGATTACATATTGACGGTGTGATTATTCCTATTAGAAGGTCTATGTTGTTTTAAAGAGTGATGACATTTTCTAAGGAAAAAATAATAGAATAATTGCTTTAGCCGTTTACCCAAAACAATTAATCTATTTATTTTAATGAAGACAGTAAAAGTTTTTTTATACAAAGTTTGTGAAGAAAATGTTTACACTATGTGTTAAGCATACAATCAATCTGTGGTGTAAATTAATACGCAGTATATACATATGCACAAACAGTATTATTTCAAAGTAAATAGACTAATATTTAATTTTTATTCATCGAATATTCTAATCAAATTAATCGATTATGATTAGAGCGGTTGGGTTGTGCTTTTAACACAGTTCTACATCTAGTAACGCTCAGATTCGTGTAGAGTATCTGTAACTGTAGGTTAGACACATGAGTGTAAAATTTCAACGATCGTGGTGTTGTTTTTTCGGAACTCCTATCGGAATGTTTCTTGAAACATATTGAAACAATTGTTGTATACGGACAGATTTGTGAAAAAACAATTCGTGGATTTTACTATATGATATCAACCCGTTGCATCCGTAAATATTTGTTGTCACACACAGGGATATCCATTTTGTGGTCCCGAAAGTAAATGTAAATAAAACAAACTTATTGTTGATATTTTGATCAAATTATTATAACAATCTAAAATACAGAAAGGTGTATATGTCAGCAAATAAAATTGTCGTATTTGACATTGACATCTGTGGTAGTAAAAATCGACAAGTCAAAAAACCATCATATCCTCTTGAAATCAATAGATAATGTTGTATATGGTCTGAAGGTCTGCCTTCACAGCTCTCTGAAAATATATGAAGTTAGCCCAAGCCGTTTATTTTAATCGCTACGGGTACATGATTACCACTTTTGGAAACAAAGATATAAATAATTATGGAAGTTATGTTGTTTCAAAATTAAGGTGCCATAAGCACAACAAACAACACAATAGATCCTGTTTTGGACAGATATATTTCATGGACATTTATTTCCACGCTTTGTGATGTTAATTAGTCAAGAAGGTGTACGTTTTCTTTTTGAGCTATTGTCAGCTATATGCCGAGAAGTCACCATAAATGACGTCAAAAGCATTTAATACTGTATGATGTCCTTGGAGAGCATTTGAATAAGGTTGTATATCATATCTTACGGCACGGTTCAAACAATATATTGAAATAAAAATATGATCGAAGTTTCAATAAGATGTGTATTTTATTACATTTAATTCAGGATCTACAGATTCAATAACCCTGTACATTCAAGAATAGTTATACGTTTTTCAATTATTCTATTTTCTTTTTAATCAGTAGTTACGTTTTGTATCAGGAGATTTGTAATAATGGAGATCTACTTTATATTATATATGATATTTGTAATACAAACACATAAGATCACTTAAAGATAAATCTCTTTCTTTCTCTCTCTGACTTTTTTCTCACATTTTTCACTCCTTATGAGTCTCTTTTTCACTCACTCTAATTTTCTATAACTCGAAGAAATTTTCTACTCTATATATTATAGATTTTAACTATTAAACATTAAGTATTTGTAATCCAAAAACACAAACCGACTTAAAGCAAATCTCTCTCTCTCTTTTTTTCATATCTTTCCCCTTTTTGTTTATCTCTTTTTTTTACTCACTCATTTTTTCTGTTGTTCAAATTAATTTCAAACTATAAAGATTGCAAATTTTAACTTTTAAATATATCTACTTGTAATATTAACACTCTAGATCACGGCTGCACAAGTGCGCCCCGCGGGCCACATGTGTCTTATCTTTGTGCGGCCCGCGATATCTTTCAATCTACTATAATTACGCAAATTTTCTTTTAGTTTACTGGTATAACTACATTATTTTATATTTGTGATATACTAAAAGAATAAATTTAAATTGATAAATTAGTAAAACTGAATTTAACATTACAATCGTATATTTATTTTTATCGAAAACAAGTATTAACGTCTGTATTTGTTTCTGCGGCCCTTTAATCTGTACAGTGATATGCATTGACCCGTGATCGCATCTGGTCTGGACAGCCCTGCTCTAGGTGATTTAAAGACAAATCTCTTTCCCTAATGTTTTTCTCAAATTTTTCCCTTTTTATTCATCTCTTTCCCTAACGTTTTTCCCAACTTTTTCCCTTTTTATTCATCTCTTTCTATATAGTTCTATGACTTGAACTATAACTTTCAACTATACACAGAATACCCTACTCACACCCTTTTTACTTTTAATTTCCCTAACAAAATTGAATTACTCACCTCGGCTATTGTTTTGCACTTTTGTGGAAATATCGAATTGCAAACTTGATCAGCTTATCAATGCATAAACAATTAAACAATAAAACAGAAAACAATAAACAATAAATAATAAATAATAAAAAATGCAGCGATAACATTTAAGGTCTTATAGACAAATCCAAAACTAAATAAAAGCACGAATATGAAATTGAGTTCAAGTTGATTTTCATAATTTCGTCAACACTTTTAAGTAAAAGTTTAACGGGAGCGCGTACTATTTGAGGTAAAAATAAAGTTAAGCCAAAAAATAAAAAAAAAAAAACAAGAAATTTCGTTGTTGTGAATAGAGTAGAGGTATTACTGGATTAACGTCTCTCATTGCAATGGAAGCCACAAAAAGTGAAAGACATCCATCCACTCTTCTGCAAGCTGAAATCACATCGCTGTTCTTTGGCTGGTGCCGCGCAAGAGTCACTTGCTCAAAACGAACTCATAATTCATCGCTCTTCGCACGTGCTGGACATATTTAATTAACTGAGAAGTGCTTAACTCGAACCTTGGCTAATTTAAATTTAAGTAGACAAGTTCAGCGCTTGAGTATCAGTGGCACGTTCTACATTTCAAAAGTTGGTCAGCATTTCTAGTCTATGCAATTTACGCGCTCTGTAATTGCGGAACGCGGTACCGAGTGAGCTCAAGTCTCTAATTTTTTAACTTTTAATTTTTTCAAATATTTGAAGATTTTTCGCATATTAGTTCTATGTGGCATAGAACTCCCACTTCTTCTACTACAAATTTCTTTCAGTTCATTTGTATAGAGCTTGGTTAAAGCTCTATTATACCTCGTTTTCGGTGCGATAAAGTCGCTAAAAATTCTCGCAATTTCAATTCTTTTGCCAAAGGTTTTAAATTGGAGTTTAATTATAGTGAAATCTAATAATGATTATATTAAGTGTATGAAAAATAATAGTAAAACTTAAAATAAGTCAATAATACAATTGTTTAAATTGTGTAAATTTATAGCAAAAAGACTTAAAAAGTGAAAAAATAAATAATATAATAAAATAAACTAATAAAAATTTCTGAATATGTGTCTATTTTCGAAAGGACGTCATCATTGGATATTGGTGCTCTGTGGAATTGGTATGTGAATGGTATCAATCTACTATATATTATATACTTAGACTTAACTGCTCCTTAAACACTTTGATTCAATGATCCAAATTTAATAATACTTTTTTACTGTTCTTAAAGCAAAGAAATTAATATTATAGAATTATAATAAGAAAACCTATCTCTGTGAGAAAATAAGAGTAATTAATTATAATTATAAAAATAATTGCAAAATCAGACGTAACCTTTAAACCAAGGAGGAGTGGTATGCCTACGTACTGACCATAATCCGACGCCCCGGAAAGTGAGTGCCCGACTCGCCGGGACTAAACCACTCCTCTTTATTATTTCTAGAGACCTTATCGTACCCCAGGACTACGTTAGTATTACTTCGAGGGTCGTAGGGTCGCTATTAGTCATTTAAGACTTCTATCAGTGTGACCTGCGCATTTAATGAATAATAATATTCAAAAAATAATTTTATTATTAAATATATTTCCAAAAGAATGTTAATACTTAACCTTAACAAGATATACAGAACAATAACATTAAAATTTTTAATAATCAATTACATGGGGAATACTATAGACTATTACTCAGGCAGTTCATTGAGTTGATCTCAGTAATTTTAATCGACCTCTAGGCTTGATATGATAATATTATAGTATATATTATTATATATTAAAATATATATATTACTAATTTTATATTACTATTATAATATTACTATCACATCTTTTTCAGCAATATTTTCACCCATTTGCATTACTAAAACACATCATCATAACCATGTCTATGGTGTTAACAATAATAATCATCAAAGTAATGTAAGCATATTGAAAGATCCAGTTACGGAACCAACGACAACTCCGGCGTCAATGAAATCGCGTGATATTGTCATTGGTCCATGCAGATGGGTAATTGATCGTAAATGTCCCGATAATGATATTAAATTTTATTTATATACACGCAAAAATATGATGGATCGTCAGTATTTGTACGTAGATGACACGCTGGAGAAATCAAATATAACCGATTCATATTTGAATCCACAATATCCAACGAAAATAATCATACACGGCTATAACTCGGATATGTTTCTAAATCCGTTGCATGTAATGCGCGAAGGTGTGGTGGGTGTAAATATTCAGTGATATCATAAATATAATTTTAAAATCATTGCATTTCTGTTTCTTTCAAAATTTAGAATACCTGTCAAAAGCAAATTTCAATATAATTTATGTCGATTGGAGCATATTAACACCGGGCCCTTGCTATATAAGCTCTGTACATAATACCAAGCATACAGGTGCTTGTGTGGCGCAATTAATTGAACGTTTACTAGATTTCGGTAACTCTGATGTACACTTAATCGGATTTTCATTAGGGGCACAAGTACCTAATTACGTAGCCAGAAATTTGCCTACATATCAGCTGCCAAGAATAACAGGTAAATATATTACCAATATAAAGAAATTACTTTGATATTTACGATTTAATAATACACTCTTTGATTAATAGCTTTGGATCCAGCCATGCCATTATTTATAACTGCACCCAATAGTGATAAATTGGATCCCAGTGATGCTGCATACGTAGATGTTATACATACAAACGCAATGGTTCAAGGCAAATTGGAAAGATGCGGCCATGCCGATTTTTACATGAATGGTGGAATAATGCAGCCCGGTTGTTATATACAAGGAACAAGTAAGTAGTAATTAAGAAGATACATATCGTAGTCATTGACTCATCATTGGATTTTGAAAAATAGAATTTTTTGAAAAAAATGTATAATAATATAAAAATATATAATGTTCGCATCATTCATTCTGAACTTTGATATGCCAGGTATTGAAGCCAGGTATTACTGAACCAAAGTTGGACGTGATTACGTTTTCTTGGGCATGCCTATTTTACGTATTCTGTACAACTTTTTTTACTACACTATATCTCAATACAACTTAGTTTTTAGATATCGCACTTTAAAGTTTTTATATAAAAACCACAAACAATATAGTCTATATAGTAACTTTTTTGCTAACTCATTCATTCTATATTTTCTAAGTATACAGTATATAACATACTTAATGAACTTTTTATAAAATTTCAGATCCTTTTGCTTGTAGTCATCAACGTGCTCCAGCTTATTTTTTAGAATCGATACGCTCACGTAAAGGTTTTTGGGGTTGGGCGTGTAGCTCATACATTGCCTATATACTCGGTATGTGCCCGCCAACAAATTTCTTAGTAGAAGCTGGTGATAGCATTAGGCCTACTACAAGAGGCATGTTTTTCATAAATACAAACGACAGCTCACCTTTTGCTTTGGGTAAATGGACCGACTTACCTATATTAGGCATGAAAGATAGTAAAACATCATCAACAATTTCAACAAATCGAACCCCATCTATAACAATTCCGCAACCCAAACAAAACAGCGAGCCTTTACTTAGACAAATCGATGAGTGGGGAAAATTGGATTCGAATTTCAACAATTTGCCATATTCCATTGAATCATTTACATCTGATATTGCTATGAATAATTGGACATTTTTCGAAAATGAAAACACCAACGAAACAACAAATAATTCTAAAGATAATTCTATTGAGGAACAAGATTTAGATGATACGGATATCAATAACAATCAAGCGACTATTAATGCAAATGGGAAAAAAGACAAAAATATTGCTAATGATAACTTTATATGGAATGAGTATCGCCAGAACTTAACTTCCGGATTCGTTGACAATAGTCTTTTTAAAGTGCCCCGTTTACAATAAATTAAATAAATATTTTAATTATAAAATTTCAAAAAACTGTTTTTGTTTTGAGATAAATGGAAATTTGTTTTTTTAAATAGTTCAGGTTTAGTTTAGGTGTTTGTACAGTATATCCATTGATAAGACCCGTAGTCAGAAACGTAGGAGGGTAGAGATTCAGATAATTTCTCTACTTTAAAAAATTTGTTTTTTTTTTTAAAAAAAAAAGGCATGTAACAGTACCTCGATTTCTTTCGAGAGATGCCTAGCTAAGTGTCATTGACTTCCCATCTTATATAAACGTATGTATAATAATAAAAATTCATGTTTTTAAGTAAATGTACCCGACAAAATATATTTGGTTCCAAGAACAGACGGTCTATGTCCCAGAGCCACTAGTCAATAACGACAACAAAGTGCCGTTCTCCACTCCTAAAGGGATTTTACAATCAGATCCGCACGGGCTACAACATAAAAAATATTCAACAAAAACTAGTAACGTATGTTTAACTTGCATCAGTTCTAAGGATTGTGTAGAACATCTAAAACTCCTTATCATAGATTCTAAAATATGAAATATATATTGATTCAATCTTTGTTCCCATATCATCTTCCGAATTTTCGAAATATAAAACTTACAAGCAGCTGAACCTTAATCTTATGCACGAATGTGTTAAATGTTTTTTTATATATCAATCTAAAAATATTACTTATCAACTTAGAGGGTCATTCATAATCGTTACTTTCGGGGAAAATATCCTAACTTTTTTCACATATGTTTACACATAACACAATTTGAGCTTAAACTATGTTAAATGTACATATGTTATATACAGTATTTCACCTATCATTTTATTAAATAATGGATGGCAAGATAATTTTAGATTATTATTTATTAACTTGAATTAATCATAACAATAGCAACAAATTCACAACAAATTTCTATTCATTTGCAAACATGGGTTGCCAAATCTTTAATAACCTTCCATCCAATAAAGAAAGCTTCGTGGACTTTGCTGGTGATGTGTGTTATAACATTTTTAGGTTCAAACGTTATCGAGGCGATATTCTTACCATTTTTGAAAATAAACTTTCCTACTATGGCCACCATTGAGCCTAATATAATTGCTTTCTTGTTGTTGTATAAAAATATCATAACTTCACACATTTTATCGACAAGTCCAGGGTCTTTGGTCTTATACACCATTATAAATTTTAAATTGGCCAAATCACTGTCATATAGTTCGGTACAATGATCACTAATGTTCTCGATAACTTTCATCCTTTCGCTGTGTGCCACGAATGAAACCACTCCAACGCAACAAATTTTTGTGCCTAACATAGAATTTATCCAAATCTTTTCACCCATTCCAAAAGCCCTTTCAAAATCATTTCGTAAAATTATTTTGTCAAGAGTATCAAATCCTTTACTAAAAATATGAAAAAATGTTTCCATTTGTGGATCGAAAAATGCAGTGTGGATGGGTACATCATGATATTGCTTGACAACATCATTAAATCTGTCAGTAGTTGGCAATATCTTGAAGACGTAGTCGGGGTCTGCCATCGTAGTAGTTGGTAGAAGCTTTCTTAACTCCACTATATCATAGAGGGTACATTCAAAAATGTTAGCGCATTTTTTTTCTAAAAATAGCCAAAATAAAAGATTCAATACTTCAGGTTTTAAACGGTGGATTTCATTGCTCTTAATACGTTTCCAAACCACTATTAACGGTGGTATCTCTTCTATAACTGCTCTGAGTGCATTAATGTCGTAGGTGTTATTCGTCTTAAAATCATTGGGATATATGTTAATAAACTTGTTATAATCCTCACTTTGGGCACATTTTATGAAGCATGTTAGTAGAAAATCGAGCGATTTAAGATATCTTTCGAAGACTGAACGCAACATATTTATCTTTTCAGCGACAGTCATATTTTGTGAATAAGAAGAGACTTCTTGATAATCTGGCATTTTTGAATTTCTCCCTCTGGTGGGTCAGAAATATATAATTATTTTCTCCTTAATTGTTTGTTACAATACTGCAAAAGAAAAAAAATTTGATGTGTAAACTTAAACATAAATTTAAAAGTTGAAAATGCAACGCCATCTAGTTTATTCTCTGAAGTTTAACAAGGAAGATTTATAGTGAAATGTGGGTATTTGCAGAGAATTAGATTTTAGCCCAAGAAGCCCTTTTATTTTAGTACACTGTCCTATATAGTTAAAAGTTATATATTGTTAAGTTATTTAATTGAAATGATGTTAAATAACGAAGGAAACTCACAAGAATCCTTATTAGTACAGAATACCATTTCAGAAAACTTCTAATTTATGTTAAAGAATAATTTTAAAGCTACAGAGTTGTTATCTTTTGTGGCACTTAAGGAAGGAGAATTTTCAAATCAGTTAACGGACTATAATCAGTGGCAATAATACATAAGATGAATATCTGTTAAAGGACCTTCTTAGCATATGATTCCATGATAAGTATGATTTCAAATAAATCTTTCTTCTGTTCTCTAACTTATGATATAATTATTTTACTATTACTTCGCTATCTTACCATATATCTCAAGAAGCTTTTCTAATTATAAAATGTTGAACTCACCTTAAAGAGAAGAACTGCTGCATTTAATAATATAGTTTTGCAGGAGTAAGAATTTTTTCTAATTTTTTTCTTGGTTTCTTATAAACATGTAGTCTTATTAGAATTTATTGACAATTGAGAATCGAACGATTTTTTAATAAAATATTTTTTAAGGAAAAACACTGAAAATAAATTTATAAATTAAAATTTCAATGCTATCTATATTTGTTTATTAAAATAAATTTTTTTTTAAATTATAATGCAACTGATGTGAACACAACAGTATTCAAATTAAAATATTTGTTTGAAATTCCCTACCCCGGACTTTTCAAGCCAAACAAAAGACAATGTTCTATGGCAATATTACAAAACTTCAAATCTTCTTACTATATTGAATGAATAGAATAGAAAAATCCTATTAACAAGAATAGAATTGTTAAGGTTGAACTATACAAAGTTCAAACATCCCAAACATTCCCAGGAAAGAAGATATCATCCACTTTATGGGATGTTTGTTAATTTTATGTGAAACTAGATCAGACGCAACATATGTCTACAGAGTAGATAGATTCTGGACAACAATGATCTATTAATTATTAATATATTTTTTTTATTCATTCAGCTGGCAAATTATTCATTAATTTCTAAAGTTATCGAAATTCAAATATCAGAATTAAAACTTAATAACAATACGAGTTGAACTTAATTAAGACAGGCAAGTTAATGTTATTGTCTTATATATAAAAGTTTTTATATATTTTTTTTTTATTATCTGAAAAAAATTTAGAGATAATACTAAAGAACAAACTATACTTATTTATATTTTGTGAGCTTATCGACGTAGAAAAATAAACCATACTAACACCCAATTGATGCCTGCACTTACTATATACAATTAGTAAAAAAAAATATACATATGCAATTTATAATTCTCATGGGGTTTAACACAGATTTCTTATAAATAGTCTTATGACTGCTGTACTGTATTGTTTCATTCAGTTTAATATAAAGTTTACGCAATTGCCTTAGTTGACTATGATAATCATTTGATTTACCCAATAAAAAGTTTGTTTAATCAGTACTTGTCCTTATTTTAAAGAACTCTGTGTTTAGGAATTAATGCTGTTGTTGGAAAATTATAAATAATATAATTACGATATATGTGATAACTAATTTAAAAAAATTATTATTATTATTATAATCACATTGCTGCTTTTTACGAGGTGTGTGCAATCGCGTTAGTAGTATTCTTATGGCCCAATGTTTATGAGAAATACATGAACACACCTTCTCTTTTGATATCCTCACAATATTATCTTTATTTAGTAAAAATTCACTAGAATAATGTGGATTTATTTCCTGTTTTGCGGTTTATAGTCTTGTTATGGCGATTAGAACTTTTGACATTATTGTAGAAATCTTAGTTATATCCACGGTTGCCACTTATGGTACTTTAGTACCAAAATTGGTACTTTTTTTCCGTTTGGTACGCTGGTACTCATGTTCAAAAAATGGTACATTTTCGTCGACCCAACTTTATTGTGGATATTGCATTGTTTTATACTTTTTGTACATTTTATATAAATTGTATTTTCTTATAAAAAGACAATAGAAAAATTTTGGACCTTTTTTTACAGAAATGGTACCTTTTTAAACCAATTTTGGTACAGAAAAAAATTTTCAAGTGGCAACCGTGGTTATATCTACCGTACAAAAAGATGAAGACTGATTTTTCCAAGACTAACGATATTTTCAAGCCAAAAACCAATGTTCTTATAAAGTAGGGAATTTTTTGTAATATGATTTAAAAGAAAGTTTTTTCTCAAGAACTATATATTTCGTTAAATAATGATCGAACAATGGCAAACCAAAAAACAAATAAAATTTAAAAGGAATGCAAGTCATTTGGTAGTAAAACAGTTTTTAATTATTATATTATTTTGTATTTTGTATTTTTTATATTTTTAAATTAATTTTAAATTTAAAAACGTTGCTTTTATATAAAGTATACATGATTCTAGAGTGCTTATATAACTACATTTTAAATTAATGTATTTATACGATATTTAATAAGAAACGTTTTAAATATGCAAAAATTTAATTTGAAAACTTTAAAATGACTAACAGTTTGAAGCGTACTTAAAATACATTAAAACTTAAATTAATTCTACTTAAGTCTACTTCCACGACGTGTAGCTAAAGGTGTCGATTTAGAGGCAGAAGTATTTTGGGAATTTTGTTTGGAGGCAATATTAACTTTTGTAACTGGCAATGCGGGTTGATCTTCGTCCATTTTTACTTCTTGTTTAACATTTTCTAAATTGTTCTCTACTTTAAGTGAACTGTGTTCTTCCATATTCACTTCTTGTTTAAAATTTTCTAAATTGTTCTGTACTTTAGCTGAAATTGGTTCTACTACTTGATCTATATCATCTTCTTCGTCCAGTGCAATAATTGACTCTGATGGCTCTAGAGCAGCGATATGGTACAGAGCCTTTTCTTCATCCGATATGGGAACAGGTGCATTAGAGAGCGCATCGCGACCGTTTAATGTTTTTGGAAATGCAATTACATCACGTATTGAACGCGCACGACATATTATTGCCATCAAACGATCTAATCCTAAAGCAATTCCACCATGTGGCGGACAACCAGATTCTAATGCGCTTAATAAATGTGAAAGATGTTCATGCGGGATTTTAAGGACACGTTCTAAAACAAATTGTTGCATTTCAACATCGTGAATACGTATGGAGCCACCACCAACTTCTTGTCCATTTAATACCAAGTCATAGGCCAAAGATCGTATATTTTCTAAATTTGTATTCGAGTTGAATTTATCCATGTCATCCGGATGAGGTGCTGTAAAGGGATGATGAACACTTTCCCACGCAAGAGTTTCTGCATTATATTCAAATAACGGAAAGTCAGTAACCCAAAGGAATTTATGTTCAAAATTTTTTTTAGTTTTGTCATTTTCCAATAGAAAGTCATGGTAATCCACACGTATACGACCCATTACAGATTGCTGTGAAGATATTTAAAAAAAATTAAAGTTATCAGAATAGAATATTTTGTCCAAAAAAAAACATTAAGTCTAAAGGAATGATGAAGTGTATAATTAGTGAAATCCTTCACTAATTCGCCTAATTAAATATTATATATATGAGAAATACATGCAAAAGTCTAACAAGCAATTCTCTATTTACTACCACGGACTTGATAAATGAATGGCTTTGTCTGCGTTTTCATTTAAACTATAGTATTATTTATTATTATTTATTTATTTATTATTATTTATTTATTATTATTTAGTTATTATTATTTATTTATTATTTATTTATTATTATTTAGTTATTATT